AAACACATAAATCTTAATACCTTTCATGAACATACGCGAATCTTAATGTTATATTGAATGATGAAATGGTTAATTAGGAAGGTTCTGTGTAATTTTTGTCACTTTCTGATGAAAGGCTCTGAAGATGAACGCAGTTCGTCAACTTACCCCTGCTGCCAACTAGCCCGGTCTCCTCTTTCACTCTCTCTCTCTCTCTCTCTCTCTCTCTCTATATATATATATATATATATATATATATATATATATATATATATATATATATATATATATATATATATATATTTTGTATGTATTTAAGTGCTCCCAGAAGTCCTTACGGTCTTATCATAGAGCACCGCGGGTGAGCATTTAACAGGAAGTTCACGCCTTCTTCCGTACCAATGTCGCTTGTTGGGCTAGAGCTGGCGTCGTATATATATATATATATATATATATATATATATATATATATATATATATATATATATATATATATATATATATACCCAGCTAGCACACATACGTTGTTAAAACATTAGAACAATGTCGCGCGTTTCGTTGGCAACATCGGCTGCCAACGTTGTTTCTATACCATCATGGTTACAAATGCAACGTCGCCAACAACTAAAAACCAATGTTGATAAAACGTTTATTTAAGGTCGGAAAATGGTTATATTTTCTACGTTGAATCAACGTTTTATTTTATACGTTGGTCCAACGTTTTATTTTAAGTTGGCACAACGTTGTATTTACGTTGATTCAACGTTGAACTTTAATTGGCAAAACGTTGTATTCAATACTATTCGGAATAAAATTTTCATTAAATTTTTTTTTCTTTATATATATATATATATATATATATATATATATATATATATATATATATATATATATATATATATATATATATATATATTATATATATATATATATATATATATATATATATATATATATATATATATATATTGTAGGTTTTGTGGTTCCTTTTCCAACATTATTTACTCATGGTAGGTTGAGAACGCTTGATCATTTGAAGAAAAATCATGTTTGTATTGATTGTGGTTTGATATTTTAATAATTAAGGAAGATTTTAAGTTAGATAATTTTGCAACAGCAATGTTCGGTCACACACATTGGATCAACGTTGGGTTTATTTCGTTAAAACAATTAACTTTTTGCGATGTATTTACATACATTGGATCAACGTTGATTTATATACATTAAACCAACGTCGAAATTAATACATTGAATCAACGTTGGGCTTAAATTGTAAAAACAATCAATTTTTTGCGATGTTTTTACATACATTGGAAAAAGGTTGGTTTATATACATTGAATCAATGTCGAGATATAAACATTGGATCAACGTTGGGTTTAGATCGTAAAAATAATCAAATTTTTTCGATGTTTTTACATACATTGGAAAAACGTTGATTTATATACATTGAATCAACGTCGAAATATATACATTGGATCAACATTGGATTTATATCATAAAAACAATAATCGTAAAAACAATCAACTTTTTGCAATGTTTTTACATATGTTGACCAATGTAAATTTGCCAGATGTTTTTAGTTTTGTCGGTAATAATTTTATCATTACCAAATGACATTGAATCAACGTTGGTTTTTCATTGGAAACAAGAGCCGACGTTCGCGATGGTTTTACATACGTTGGCCCAATGTAAGTGTGCTAGCTGGGTATATATTTATATATATATATATATATATATATATATATATATATATATATATATATATATATATATATATATATATATATATATATATATATATATATATATATATATATATATATATATACATATATATATATATATATATATATATATATATATATATATATATATATATATATATATATATATATATATATATATATATATATATATATATATATATATATATATATATATATATATATATATATATATATATATATATATATCTTAATAACCTTATGTATTAAAAAGTTTAATCGCTGATCCTTTTATTTAATTTAATAATCTCTGTGTGCATGTTTATGTGTGCATGTTCATGTGTGCGTGTTCGTATGTGTGTGTGCGTGAGTGTAACAGATATGTTGCTGCAATATTATGAATATGGAAATTGTTTTAAAAGTTAAAAAATGTATTCTTATCATCAATATATTTGTATTCAATGCTTATCATTTAAAATAAAAAAATATCTTATCATTGGAATCTTATATAAAGTTCTTATGATAATATTTTTGTGATCTTTTTTTAGTTAGTTGATATTATATTATTTTAACTTACATTAGAAAGTTTACATTAGAATAATAAATTTACATTCTATGTGATTAATATTCTATGTAATAAATTCTAATTTTAAACATTAGGATACACACATCCGATTCTCCTGTTATTAAATTTTTTGGTACAAATACATTTTACGTACAATGTACACAACTGAATGTTTCCACATCTAACTATTATACATCTACAAATAATATAATAATTACATATAAAAACGATGTATATTACAGAACAAAAATGGCTTTTAAACTTCTTTATTAAAATAATAATAATTAAATGCTTATAATAATAATTATAAAAATAATTTTTTATTTTATAAGTAGTTAATTCCCGACGGGCATTTGTTTTTAAAAGTTACGTTCTAAATGTGTTTTAAACGTCTTTTAAACGTCTTTTAAACATTAATGTTAAAAAGACGTTTAAAAGACATTTAAAATACATTTAGATTGTAACTTTTAAAAACAAATGCCCGTCGGGTTGTTATGGGAGGGAGGGGGAGCAGCATTTTTAGGGGGTCTATTTGGAAATTAAAGGGCCTTTTTGGAAATTTAAGGAACTTTATTTTTTATTTGATAATTCAAAATTTTTTAAGATTTTGGAACCCTAATGGCAGACATATATAGTGCTCGAAGAAAGGCGCGATGCCATCCCGTCACATTTTTATAAAGTATAAACCATCTCGCTACTTTTTTATAAATCTATATATATATAACAATGATCAGGTAGGATGGTAATTTTTAATTTACCGAATACCATCCTGTTAATTTTTAGCACTTAGCATTTGAGCACTATATATATATATATATATATATATATATATATATATATATATATATATATATATATATATATATATATATATATATATATATATATATATATATATATATATATATATATATATATATATATATATATATATATATATATATATATATATATATATATATCATTTTTTCAAAAATAAGCACCAACACATATGAAAATAAATAAAAAGCGCACTGAAAACAAATATCTGTAATAAACATTTAGAATATAAACTGTAAGAAACTTTTGGATTTTGTACTCTTATCATGTTTAAATACTTATGTTTTTAAAAACACACACACGCAGTCATTCGACACCATTAAGGTTCTTAAAAAGACATGTTACGTATAAATTAAAAGATGACATGTTCAGTTAAACTGCCTTGTCTGATACCAAACTTTGTACAAAACATCTAATGTGTTCAAAACAATTTTCATCTGCTCCAAATGCTTTGTTATCCGTTTATAAAAGATTTCTAGCTTCTCTTAAACCGATATTATTAATGCTGTAACTAAAGGTGCTAAAAATCATTAAAAACATATCTTGTATTTGGTTTTTATTTAATATTTAATAGTTTTAAACTAATTTTGGTAAAAGATTTATTTAATAATTTAACCTAATTTTTTGTATAAAATTGTGTTATCTGCTTTAGATATGATTTTCTTTTCCAGATTTTTTTTCGATTGTCAAGTTTTGAGTCATCTTTATCTTTATCTTTTAGTTTTAAATAGCAATTTTTTATTGAATTTTTATTTTACAAACAGACTTTTATAGTTTACACAATGTAAATTTTACTATATTGAATAAATTTTGTTAAAAAGAAAAAGTTGAATAAATGCGTCTGAGTCTTTATGATTTTTATAAAGTAAAAGATTCAGAAACGAGCTTAAATATGGCGGACTACTAGTAACAGTATCTTCATGAGTTGCTAATGGTTCGGTCTAAATTATAAAGCAAAACTGAGCACCTACCCTTTTTATGGAATTTTTTCAAAATATTGGCTAAACTAAAAATTTGTTTCAGAGAATGTGAAAAAACTGAAACTGAAATTATAGAACAAAACTTATTATTATGACACCAATTCAAGGAAGATTAATCCATAGTTTATAAACTTTCACCATAAGCCACATGATGATTTTATACCAAAGTCTTTGCTAAAGTCTTTTGTTAAAAATTTTATACCAAAGTCTTTGTTAAAGCCAAAATACCTCACCTGTTTCAAAGTTTTTTACTTTATTGACATTTTCTCATAACCGTTATTGATTTTTTCAATGTGTAACAAAATCCTTACTTCCAATAAAAATTTCTTCATTTCATAGAGAAAAAAATAAAAGTGCTACAATTGTGTTGATAAATAGTTCTAATGGAGATGCACTCTTTATTACAACTTTTCCACCACCAAATTAAAAACTTAAGAAGAGCAATCAAGAAAAAAGAGGGCGCATCTCATCAAAATAAAAAACGGTTCTTGTTACTAGTGTAAAAAAAAAAAAAAAAAAACACCAGTGTATATACGAGACTTATTTTATATGAGAAACCAGTAACCTTACCCTCTATGAGAAACCAGTAACCTTACTCTCTATGAGAAACCAGTAACCTTACTCTCTATGAAAAACCAGTAACCATACTCTATAAGAGCCAATTAATAAAAATTGATAAAATCTATACAGTATATTTTCATAAATTTATATTTAGAATTTTTAGTAAAAGAAGTACTGACTCATGAGTATTTATTTACTCATTATTACGTATTACGTATCTTTTTTTTTACTTTATTTGCATATTTAAAGTAATTTGTTTTTTCTTTATTTTTTCAAACTATTTATTCAAATGAGGGTATCACATTAAATATGAGACGTTTTGTGATAATAACAACATTCGTTATAAACAAGTTTATATATCTATAATTATCTTTTTGCTTATCTTCGTACAAATAGTTGAACATATGAAACGCGTGAAAAAAAAAAAGTTTAAGGAATGATATTAAAATATTGCACAATCTTAAGATAAATTAAAACTTATTGGTTGAATTTAAACAAAGGATAACTTTTCAAAAACCGCGTATTTGAGTATTCTGATTTTCACACTCGCAAATACTACCCGAGGACCGTACAAGGTGAAGCTTTACATGACACATCAAGTAGGAGCTATTTATCACATTTTTTTTATAAAATGACTATGGAAAAATAATAATGCAGCCCTTAAACAACTCCTTAGGTAATACATTACTTGACTATCAATTTTATCAAAAGAATCTTTTTTTAATACCTATTTTTTTGTACTCTTTTATCTAGAAAAAAAAATTATTCCACAACCGGCCTCAATTCTATTATAGTTGTATCAAACTCCTCAATTGCATCATAAATTTTATAATCACTTCGTTACCTCTTAAGGGCATCTACGCTCTAAATTTTATGAATATTTTTTTTATTTTTTTAATTTTTTTGCTCCTTTTTTTTCTATTTCGCAGATTGCAAAAATCTACTTGCAGAACCTGCAAAAATAGTTATAAGTTTCTTAACCACTTTTTTATGAAATTTTTTAATAATATTGGCTAAATGGGGAGTTAATTTTTTCAGAGAAAATAAAAAATATATATATTTTTAAAATTTTTATATTTCTAAATGACTTAAAAAAATATGGCACTTTATAACATATACCTATTTCATAATATTTTTAACGCTATAATACTTATAATATAATGACGAACATATAAATAATAACAAAATAAAACCGCTAAATTTTATTCTTACTTTATATATTTGTTCGCTATTTACACTCTAATATAAAAAGAAAAAAAAAACTAAAAATAACAAATTAATAAAACTTTCAATACAATAAAGGCGAACAACTACGTTAAACGTCCAACGAGCACTACAGTGACTAGATGTCAACGGCTGTGGAGAACATAATGCTGCGGACTTTACATTCTGGGAAAATTTGGGTAAACCGTAGTATTACAGTCACCAAACGAAAGGGTTTAATAAATTTTCGATTAATTTTTGTTATTTTGAACCTAAGCAAAAAAAATATGTTCATAGCAATCCGCATAGCAACGAAGTGAATGTACTTTTGGTATGTTTTCCCAGATTTACTCTTTCGAATATAGATTTTGATTTATATCTAAGTCTGTATTTGATATTCAGTAATGATGACAGTATGATAATATATATGTAGCAAATGAATGTAGCAAATTTATCAAATAATTTTTAAAATAAATAACAAGATTTTTTATTTAGTTTAAAAAAAAAAAAAAATTAAAAAATTTTTTTTTAACCATCTTTTGTAAGAATTGTGTATTCAAATTTAAAAGTTCAAAAATGGAAACCTCTGGAAGAGCTGTAAACAACATACCTATCAAATGATAATTTTCTTTTTTAAGCTTTTTGTGAAATCAAGCTCAAGGTTATCAAGAAATATCTACATTTACAAACAACATGAACATTACCATTATCGTTCCCATCACCATTATAATTCCTATGAGATCTATAAAGGCCTCTGATGTTCCAATATGGATGAATTGATCGCTAAAAAACTACAACTTGCATTTCACTACATATACTAGTAATGGTGACACATCATCTGATGAAAACAAGTCTTCTGAATCATATACCGATGAAACATTCATTAAAAGTCGAATAAGTTGGTCATATTCATAAGCAACTAGATACACTTTGCCGTAGTTAGCACAAACTCAAAATAACAATGAATTTTTCAAATCTAGTATTTAAAAAAAAATTCTTTGAAAAAATTTTTATTTTAAAAAAGATTTTGGAAATTTGAGTTTTATCAGCAACATTACAGTTCAATGAAGGTGTTGCTGGTGTTTGCAATGGTTTTGAAGGTTTAAAAATTCCTGTTTTGTATTTAATTCAACAGAGAATTTAATTTAAAAACAACGAAAAAATCAGAAGCATTGTCAACCAAATTAAAAAAAGCGCAATATTGGTTAACCCTAAACTAAATACTATATCCTAAAGACCGTTAGGTCTTTACACTTAAATAACAAATGAAAAAAAAAAGGTATATTAGAAAAGATTACTCAATCATTGAAAACGAATCAAAAAAACATTTCAGCTTTTTATTTTTTTTATTTTTATTTTTTGAAAAAAAATTCGTTTTGGTTACAAACTATTTTAAAAGTTGTATTTTCAGATAAACAACTTTTGAAATTTGCAATTTGTTTCTTTATTGATTATTATTGTAATATAAACCAATAAAGAAATTAATATAAAATAAAAAATGTATTATTTTTCACAATAAAGCTTCATAGCTAACATAAAGTGAAATATTACGGTTGAATTTAGTTATGTTGTTTTATGATTGGTTACGAAGTGACTATTCCTCCGACCAGACAGATGAATAATCGCGGAGGATATTCGCCCGACCAAAAAATCTAATAACTAAATTTAAAATATCGCCTAATGGAAATGTGTGTGTGGTGATGCCAAATCGATAAATTCGAGGCCGATGAATCGAGCTGCGCGGATTCAAACTCACTTATTATTTTTGAAAAATTTGATGAATTACTTTGTTGTTTTGCGCAATTAAAAGTACTGACATTATATAATTAATATATGCTATTCCCAAAAGATTACGTTTTAGAATATTAAGTTAGTTCTAGTATTTTTGCACACGCAAAAGAAGTTACAAACTAGAAGACTGTTATACTGACAGTTGATCAGTTTTATTTTAATGATAAAAATGCAGGTACAAACTACATTCGGTTTGTTTGCAAAACTTGAAAGTGCTTTTTTCAATTGCAAAAGAGAAAATAGAGTACGGTTTTATCGCCACGATTCAAGAACATTGGAATTCTCATAAAAAAAAGGTTTCAAAAAATATTTAAATTATCGTTTGACTTATTACACATGCCACTACAGTTACAGCTGATGAGGCAAAAAAAACAAATTAACTCGTACCGTACGAGGCCCTAACCAACAGTACTTAACTTACTTAATTTAACAGAACTTAATCCACTTTTAATAAACAATAAATGTATAAATAATTAATTTTATATGTAAACTCTTTTCAATTTATGTATTTTTAAGTAAAAAAACTTAGGGGGGCTAAGGCAGACAGAATTAGAACTTGATTGGAATAAAAGTATATTTTAAGTAATTGGAGGGGGAGGAAGAGGGGGAGAATAACGCTCCCATCTCTCTGTTCTTACCCCAGTGCTCATGTAACCAATATAACTTGTGCCACAGCTTATAATTTCATTAATGCAGCTTCTAGATTTGATTGGTTTTTAACAAATGCTAATAATTCCACACATTTTCGAAAAATGTAATGAAAACGCATCTCGTATTTAACATTTTTTGGTCTTTGAGATAGCTAACTTCCAGGCATGGAGCAAACTCCAAACATTTATATGTTTATACTTATGTCAAATAAGGGTGCCTTGTAAATTGCGATGACTGGAGCTTGGGAACAAAAAGCCTCGAAATTTTGGCCCCCCTGCTCCAAACGAGAGAGCAATAAGTTGATGAAATATTCAACTAGACTTATATTCATCGATAAATTTTAAGTTTCATAGTAAAATATTTTAGCGTTCAAAAATTATGGTCATTTAAATTTGCAACCCCCTCATATAGAGGGGGTTTAAGCTGAATGGAATTTTGGGGCTTTTTTGTTCTCAGGCTCCAATCATTGCAATTTTTTGCAAAGCATCCTTATTTGACATAAGTATAAACATATAAATAGTTTGGAGTTTGCTCCATGTCTGGAAGTTAGCTATCTCAAAGACAAAAAAATGCTAAATACGCCCCTGATCTTAATCAAAAAAATAAAAAAATTAAATTAAATTTTGTCGTATTTAATTACGGCATTTAATTACGGTATTCAATTTAATTATGGCATTACGATATTCAATTTAATTATGGCATCAGTTTAAATAAAAATTATATTATATATTTCATATTATATATTAAAACTTCTCCTCAAATTCAATTTTTACGCAAAGCGGCACTTTTCAAAACACAAACTAATTTTTTTTTTTTTTTAATTTTATTTAGGTGCCTCAAGAAGTTCTTACGGTCTTGTTACAGAGCGCCGCAATAAGCATTTAATTGGAAGTTCATGCCTCCTTCCTAACCAATGTCGCAAAACTTGCCCAGAGGTTGGGTTTGAACCACGGATCCATTGTTTCTGAGGCAAGTGCGCTACCACCTCACCACGGCTGCTCGATCTGGTCTATCTAAATATCCTCAGAGGTCATTTGTCGGACAAATATCCTTAAGGCCATTTGTCCGTCTGTTCAGACGAATTTCACCAGTCGATTGGTTAGTATATGTTGTTGTGTTGTTTTTTGGTTGGTTATAACAAAAATATATTTTAGAACAAAATGGGATACCTATTTTGCCAAATGGAAATATGGTATCTTATTTATTTTAATATCAAAATTGGCTTCGCCAATATCCAATTTTATAACTCGCTACATTCATACATGACAAGCGCTCCTCATTTTCATTTTTATTTTAAATTTTTTAAAAAAATTTTTCATTTTTATTCTAACTAAAAGTTTTGATAACTAAAAGTTTTATTTTATTTTTGTAAAAGTCAAAAGTAAAAAAAGGTTTTAATTTGTTTTAACGGTTTCTCTCAATTTAATTTACATTTTTCAGCGATCTCAATTTACTTAAAAGTCTTTAAAATTTTCAATTAAATTAATTTCAAAAAAACATTTTTTGAATGAAAAACTTCAATTTCAAGAAAAGGAAGTACTTTAAGAGTAGGAAGTACTTCTGTTTTTGTTGTCTCAATAGAAACAGAAAATGTTTATCTTTCAGAAAAATAGTTCATTGGTTTAATTTAAAGACATTTTGGAACAATTTCCTTTGTGGAAATTGCAAGATAAACTCATCTTAAAAATAAAATTTTTATGGAATTGGAACTTTTTGAGTTTTTTGGCGCAGGCGCACCAATAATTCATTTCTTATTAAGAAATATTTTTCTTAAAACAAGAAATGTATTTCTTATTTTTAAGAAAGTTGTTATTAATTAACTTGTTTTAAGAAGTAAATTAATTACCTCACAATTTATTTCTTAAAACAAGAAATATATTTCTTCAATGTTAAGAATTATATTTTAAGAAATATATTTGTTAACTATGGACAATGGATTAACTATTTTGCTGTGAATCTTTTCCACCCCGCAATTTATTTCTTAAAACATGAAATATATTTCTATATTATGGATAATGGATTTATGTTTTC